ATATATATATATATACACACACACACACACACACACACACACACTTATTTATTTATTTATTTATTCCGGAATTTTCAGAAAAGTCCACTTTCATCTCTGAAAATGGCTTCTAGATGATAGGATTTTTTTTAAAATGAGAGAAAAGAAAAAAAAGGTACCATAAATGCACATGTACATACACAGCTCAATTGAAATTCATGAATGAAACGTGTAGTGGTGTATAAAAGCAAAATCATATACACTGTCACTGTCCAAATACTTCTGAACTTGACGACACGTCTCATATATGCATCTCATGCACTGATGCCCTCCTCTCTCACGACCAATTCAACACACCCTTTCAATGCCTTGTGTTTGTTTCCTTCTTGTTTAAACATTTGGTTTGTTTTTTGAGCCCCGCCTAAATCCCTGCTCGACTTTTTAACCATCCACACAAACACCACCAGGGTCTGTGGTTCGACACCATGAACCTCTTACCATTCTTTGTCTTGGAGCCGGCAGTCGTCTCTGTCTGTGTGCGCGACTTCATAGTCTGCAGAGTGAAGCTTGTATCGTGTAGCACTGGAGCTGACTGTTACGGAGGAATGTGTGCGTGTGTGTGTGTGTGTGTACACTGACTCCGTTATGTCTGCCAGTGGGAAGCAGTCCATTGCCATCGACGACTGCACCTTCCACCAGTGTGTGCGCCTCAGCAAGTTCGACTCGGAGCGTAGCATCAGCTTCATCCCCCCTGACGGAGAGTACGAGCTTATGAGGTCAGTTGGTCCACCTGTGTAGTGTCAATTTTGGGGTATGGAGGGGCAGGGGGGCGATTTGTTCTGATATACTGTAGAGAACAACTGGGATAAATCTTCAGTGTAGTGATGGGCAAAATTAAGCCTCCTGAACCACTGGGGTGCAGTGAAACTCCTCTACAACGAAATCATGTTTGCAGCAAGAACCTTTTCACAACAGGGGGTTTTTCACTGTTGCAAATTTGATCTCAGATGTAAACACACATACACACACACACACACACACACACACATATAAACAAACGTGTGTACATGCACACACAAACGTATGTGTACTCTTTATTTTTATTCCAATAGTGCATAAGTATGAGCACACACTTATTTGACACTTCATATAGTCAGTGTAGAAAGAAAAAAGGGAAAGAAATTGCGAAATTTACGATCAGCATTCACTTTGAATTACATCAATTTCTTGGATAATGTCTTTTATTTTGCTTCCTTCGTCTTTCATTTTGCTCACTTTTACCCTCTCTTCCAGCATCAGAACCCTTCTTGTCTTAGCTGCTTGACATCCAAAGGTCCGTTTTGTAGCCATTTTAGCAATGCAACGTTAGTGCTGCGTCTGAAACTAACAATAACAAGTGCTTCCTGGTCTACTGTGCATGTGTAAATCAGTGTGGTGGTTGGTGTTGCTGTTTCCGAACGAAGCAGTAGAGGTCACTGTTGGATTAGACTTCGTTGTAGTGAATCTCTTCATGAGGCAAGAGCAGAAAAAAAGATTTCGTGTAACGCAACAGGGTTTTTTTTCGTTGTATGGTGGGCAGGAGAGTGGGAATGGTGTTAATGCATGAAGATTTTTTCACATTAGGCCAAACAAAAAAGATGTGTGTGTTTCCGGTAACATGAAATTTCAGCATAGGGTTGGTAGGTCGGACAGTCCCCCCCTCCCCATCAAAAATTTAAACAAAATAACCATAAAACATAAAACAAGGAGACACTGAACCCCCAGCTCGCCGCCAAAGGCGGCGGGAGAGTTGGGTACCCAACAGCTGGGTGTTAGGTTCCGAGGTCGGCCGGATCGCGATGGCACTGGCGGGGAGAGGTCCCCGACGCCGGCCGCAGCACGGCCTGGACTAGAGTTGCGTAGACTAGGCGGACGGTGCGTCACGTCCCGCTGCTCCGCGGCCAGCGCCGCCGCCACCACCTATTTAGTTTTCTCAGCGCTCCGGACTCGGGGGGCCGGGGCGCGCCGCCGCCCTCCTCCGCCCTCGGTTTTTACTCGGCCCGTGGTGTTCATCAAATAGTTCACTGAATTTTTTCGATACATCAATGGATGCTATTTTCTGAACATTACGGTGCGAGCATGCGACTGTAACACAGAAAACGCAGTTTAAACTGTCGTCGTAGATCGCGGCCGATGATTCAATGTTGTTGACAGACGACAGGGCAAACGATGCACGCACTCAACGTGAATATCGCGAGAGTTTGCACCGATGTAAACCCTCTACACAAAAATGCAGAGGGTTGTTTGAAAAAAAATGCCGACCGTAAAGTTTTTTTTCGACGTAGAAATTCTTGGTCGGTCGGGTTACCAGAAACACACTACTTTTTTTTCTCCGCCTTCGGGGGTATTTTCACCCATGTAGATTTCGTTGTAGAGGAGTTTCACTGTATTGCCTCAGCTCAACATTCATTACTCTATGATGCTTCATTCACTCTTTACTGACACCTGCTGTGCAGTGACAAGTATAGCAGATGAAATCTTGTAATGCTTTCAAGTACAGTGGCGCCTCTACTTAAGAACGTCTCTTCATACGAAATTTTCAAGTTCCGAAACTTCTCAACAGGAAAATATTGCCTCTTGTTACGAAAGAAATTTTGAGATACGAAAGGTAAAAACACAGTACGGGCTGCTACTCGCTCCGAATTTCCTGAACGCAGCATACTTAAACCTGCTCTGCCATTGGCTATTACCTACCATCTTCCTGGCATCCCATTGGCTAAGAGGGACCTCTACCATATGTGTCGATGTGTGTAGATAGATAAATGGATAGATCAGTGTCTATGTAGCGTCCGCGTCATTCGCCCCTAGGGCCATGAGACGTTCCGATAGTTTCACGTAATCATAAATCACCCAGAAAGAGTGTTCACCAGTCGGGCGATCGCTCACTATGCTGATGTCTGCCTTGGGCATTTTTTGAAGGATTGTTAAAAGCTGACAAAAGCAAATGTCCTTGGATCAGTTCTTTACAAAACGCCAGGCAAAAACCACTTCTGAGAGAGACCATGGACTAAAGAGGGCAAAGAACGATGACACAGTTAAAAGTTAAATGACCATAATTTGTACTCTATTCTTTGTTTTTTACCTTATGCACAACTCTTCATTTATTGTGCAATAATCAAGTTGTAATATGTATTTGTTGCATATTTTGATGCATTTTTTTCCTTTTGAAAACATGTCTGAATGTTGGGGGGCTTGGAACGGATTAGGGCAGTTACATGGAAAACGCGTCTCTACTTAGAACATTTTGTAGTTAAGAAATTTCTTCCAAAATTAATTGCGTAAGTAGAGGTACCACTGTTGTCTGAAAAAAATGTCCCAATATGGTGAAATTAAGCTTCATGAATAAAATATCAGTGAGGCTTTCCAGCCTCTTGGTTTGCACATGGCTTGCAGCAATTTTGCTTCATTTACTCAATGGTGTCATCAAGCAGTAAGCAATACGTATACACAGAATGAAATAAGACTCCAAGTTTAACCGTGCCTAAACCCCTGTCCGTAGCAGTATTGCATTTTGAGCAGGCGATGTGTCATGCAACTATGGAATAAGGAAGAAACATCATAGTGAGCACTATTATGGCTAACCCTGAATAAACATGTTTAAAGAAGAATGGAACCCGTGCTCCTAAAGTGCCTCGCTCTTTCAACTGTGCCAAGACGAGCACTTGAGTTCTGACCTCGCAGAAGGTGCATATAAAGACAAAAGGACTCAAAGCTGCTCCTAGTGCTCAAGCGTCTTTTCTAACGGACAGTGCAACTCCCTAACTTGAAGCCAACTAAGTTGACGCTCACTACAAATGCAGACAACACCTGCAAAGAGGTGCGAGGTCATACGTTGAATGAACCTCGTTTGTCATCATGTGATTCTTATTAATAATAATCATAATAATTTTTGGGACCCGATACACGCTCCGAATCGCGGCTTCATTTGGTGTGCCCACCTTTGCTCGAGACATGCGGCGAAGCCTCATTTGGCCTATCTCTCACTAGTTTGGAGACAAAGTAACTTGCACTATATTGCCAAAAGGTCAGGACAACATTGATTGTCCCGGAGACTCGCGAATGTCATTGAAAGATAAAGAAGACTTGACTGAGGAACTCAATTATGCTATACAAATTACAAACGTGACGATTGATGTGACTTCCCTGCCACCTCTCACAGGTATCGCACCACTAAGGACATCATTCTGCCGTTCCGCGTCATCCCTCTGGTCCGCGAGGTTGGTCGCACTAAGCTGGAGGTGAAGGTGGTCATTAAGTCCAACTTCAAACCATCACTTTTGGCCCAGAAGATCGAGGTGAGAAGTCATACACACAGGTGACAATTGCTGTGTGTCAAGTAAAGGTACCTCCCGTGACTGCCACCTTGAGATACGAGTGACCTGAGTTGCGAGCGTAAACTTACAATGCAAGCGCGAGGCAGCAGTCAGATAAAATGAGTAAATACTCTCAGTTCAAGTTTACTGTGATGCTGTCAGAGATGGGCACTTTACTCTATTTTGCCGGTCCGTCCTGCGTCCGTGACCTGGGTACCCTTCCGCCATCGTCCCTCCGTCCTTTTCATATAATAATTGTCCTCCGTCCTCATCCATTTAAAGTGTTTTTGCCCCCAGAATTATTGCTTTTCAATGTATGATCTTATAATAGCTCAGTTTTACAATATTATTTACCAAATTTATGGTTTCTATTAAAGCCATATACAATAAGGCGCATGGACTGACATATCGCTTCGACCCCGTTCAACAATCGTCTGCTCCAGAATTGACAAGAAAAGTGAAAATATTTTTCATTTTAGATTTCCAAAGACTTTATGGCTCTCATGAATCTTGTATTAAACGGTTCAAATGCCTCATGAGTTGCCGACATTAATGTAAATAGGTCCTTCCTCACTTGCCGTACACTGAAAAGCGTACAGTGATACAATATGACCGTCTAAACCTGGAATGTAGGATTCTAAGCGCTGCCTAATGTGCCAAAAGTGCGACTGATGGTCACCAAAATTTGCTGACACATTTACTGATGCTTACATCAACCACTAAAAATATTAGAAAGATCGCCCAAGTATTAGGAATTGTATGCTTTTTTTCCTCTTCAGAGAGGCACTCACTACAAAGCTTATGTCAGTTCACGAGAGAAACACGTCTCCCATAGAATACAAAACACATGACATTTCTTGCCACGTGACACAATGCCAAACTTTGAAAAATGTGCAGGACTCTCACATGCAAACATTGACATATTCACCGTGTATACCCATGTGTGCCAGACTTTATTTACAGTAACACTTTTGCATATAAGACTGGCCATCAATCAAACAAAATGGCATCTATGTTTCTTTATTTCAATGTCTTAGTGATAAGCAACTCAACATTAGTATTTCACAACACAAAAATAGCTACTATGATAAAATAATGCACCACTAAGGACATCATTCTGCCGTTCCGCGTCATCCCTCTGGTCCGCGAGGTTGGTCGCACTAAGCTGGAGGTGAAGGTGGTCATTAAGTCCAACTTCAAACCATCACTTTTGGCCCAGAAGATCGAGGTGAGAAGTCATACACACAGGTGACAATTGCTGTGTGTCAAGTAAAGGTACCTCCCGTGACTGCCACCTTGAGATACGAGTGACCTGAGTTGCGAGCGTAAACTTACAATGCAAGCGCGAGGCAGCAGTCAGATAAAATGAGTAAATACTCTCAGTTCAAGTTTACTGTGATGCTGTCAGAGATGGGCACTTTACTCTATTTTGCCGGTCCGTCCTGCGTCCGTGACCTGGGTACCCTTCCGCCATCGTCCCTCCGTCCTTTTCATATAATAATTGTCCTCCGTCCTCATCCATTTAAAGTGTTTTTGCCCCCAGAATTATTGCTTTTCAATGTATGATCTTATAATAGCTCAGTTTTACAATATTATTTACCAAATTTATGGTTTCTATTAAAGCCATATACAATAAGGCGCATGGACTGACATATCGCTTCGACCCCGTTCAACAATCGTCTGCTCCAGAATTGACAAGAAAAGTGAAAATATTTTTCATTTTAGATTTCCAAAGACTTTATGGCTCTCATGGAATCTTGTATTAAACGGTTCAAATGCCTCATGAGTTGCCGACATTAATGTAAATAGGTCCTTCCTCACTTGCCGTACACTGAAAAGCGTACAGTGATACAATATGACCGTCTAAACCTGGAATGTAGGATTCTAAGCGCTGCCTAATGTGCCAAAAGTGCGACTGATGGTCACCAAAATTTGCTGACACATTTACTGATGCTTACATCAACCACTAAAAATATTAGAAAGATCGCCCAAGTATTAGGAATTGTATGCTTTTTTTCCTCTTCAGAGAGGCACTCACTACAAAGCTTATGTCAGTTCACGAGAGAAACACGTCTCCCATAGAATACAAAACACATGACATTTCTTGCCACGTGACACAATGCCAAACTTTGAAAAATGTGCAGGACTCTCACATGCAAACATTGACATATTCACCGTGTATACCCATGTGTGCCAGACTTTATTTACAGTAACACTTTTGCATATAAGACTGGCCATCAATCAAACAAAATGGCATCTATGTTTCTTTATTTCAATGTCTTAGTGATAAGCAACTCAACATTAGTATTTCACAACACAAAAATAGCTACTATGATAAAATAATCGGAATAAAAACTTTACTTTTAGAAATCCGTGCCTCCGAGAGACGTACAACACAGCAGGCTTTCTTAACCAGCTGGGTTGATCTTGAGTGAAAAGAGTGTCCATAGGTACTTTGTTTTCTGACTGCACATTAGGTGGTTGCTATAATTTTACTGTTGAGATGAAAAAGGGAGGTTCTGTAGTGGCGGCTGAGTCATACAAACTAGTCTTGTGCTGTTAATATCCTGTTAAGAAAATTGTGTTTGGCTACACCCTGGCCTTGGTGTTTTGCCTCCCGACACCACAGACTTAAACCCTGTTAGCGACATTTAAAGGGCCGGATGAAAACCCACTTACTTCCTTGCTTAGTCCATCCTTTAAAAAAAAGAAAAAGAAAGAAAAGAAAAACTTCTCGTCCTCCATCCCCAAAATGGGCTTTCATCTGGGATGGAATGCCCATCTCTGCAAACTATACATAGAACCAAGAGGACACATGTATTTAAAGCAGCCACATAGCTTAGCATTTAGTCTGCTCGTTTATGACTAATGCCAACATAGGCAATTACTATCGTTTCTATGGCTGTGTTATATAACAGTTTACACAACCGATATTTGAATGAAAATGATGAAGCACCAAATGACGGCAGGAATCTGTCTTGTATTCTTTATCCTCTGTGAAGAACAACTTTGGCGAGCCCCTGCATACTCGCAGATTGATCTGCCCTTTTCTTTTTTTTTTTTTTTTTTTTTTTTTTTTTGGGCTCCCCCCCCCCCTTCATAGTGTGAAGTTTGAACTGACCTTTATACTGCCCCCAAGTGGCCAAGGCACATACCCCAAAAATGAGCCGGATCACGTGCAATACATTGAATGAGAAACTGTGACAAAACTATTAAATTCTACTTCTGTAATTAGTGGATGATTTTATGAAATATAATAACATAGGTTGATATTTTTTTCATTAAAAAAATCTTTTCAGTGAATATCTTTGGGGAAAATTGAAATAATAAGTCAAGGTGCCACTGTACGACAACGTAACTGGTCTGTAGTCAAATCGGTTGTCATGGATGTAAAAAATGTATTAATCACTCTGGTACTTTCTGTTCAGGTCCGCATCCCGACGCCCCTCAACACCAGTGGCGTGCAGGTGATTTGCATGAAGGGAAAAGCCAAGTACAAGGCCAGTGAGAACGCCATTGTGTGGAAGTGAGTCACACAGACGCGCACACACACACACGTTTGTCAAGATGTCTGAGTTTTTCTCCCATAAGCTCTATTGCAGCTTTTAAGTGAGTTTGCATTTTTCCTGTGTAGGATCAAACGCATGGCTGGAATGAAGGAGTCTCAGATCAGCGCTGAGATCGAGCTGTTGCCGACCAATGATAAGAAGAAATGGGCTCGACCCCCAATCTCCATGAACTTCGAGGTCAGCATAAACCGTAATTATATAGCTGTTACCAAAGCTAGCGGGCTAATGTTTAGGCTTACTGAGCCATGACCATGCGCACTATTGTTACTGCAGGAAATGAGCACAGATCTAGGACTTACTTTTCGGCATTAGTTCAGTGCTGGATAGAACTTCAGTGAGGAATAGGAGGGCAGTTTATTCTTGAGCTGGTTTGCTGGGACTGCTCCTCAAACAGGAAATGTAACAATGTGAGACAACAACTTATTTTATAATATAAATTTGTATGTAACATTAGACATCAAATATGTTGGAATTCATGTATGCTAAACCTCCACACAAAAAAAAATTTTTTTTTTTTCTGGTCCCTTTTACTTGCTCTAGATTTTGTATCATATTTTCCCCCCAAAAAGTTGCATATTTATTCGTAGTAAATTACAGTTTGTGTAGAATACGTCAAAGGCGTGCACATTCACCAGCCTCAAAAAATAGACTCTGGACACAACATGATCATGGTGTCACTCACCTTTGCTGGGAGCCTGTTTACAGTTTACTCAAGGTCATTTTTCATTCTTCTCATTTTCCATCGGCAGTCAAAAATGAAAAAAAAAAAACTGCCAATTGAAAATGGAAAGAATACATGATACACAGCTTGACTCTTGTTGAGACACGCAAGCACACCCTGACTCTCTCTTCTCCGCAGGTGCCGTTCGCTCCATCTGGCCTCAAGGTGCGCTACTTGAAGGTGTTTGAGTCCAAGCTCAACTACAGTGACCACGACGTAATCAAATGGGTGCGCTACATCGGCCGCTCGGGCATCTACGAGACGCGCTGCTGAAGTGGAATGTCGGCCACCCCACGCAGCCACCCCATCCATCCTCTTACTGAATTTACGAGTTCCTCTTTGTCTCCTGCTTCCCATTTATTCTTAGTGCTTCTCTTATATACCCGCCTCCGAAGTAGGTGTTGGAGATTGACTTTCTATCATGAAACAAAACAAAAGTAAATATGGCATAATGCACAGATATATGCAAAATATGAACTATTGTATCATATATCTCGTAGTGAAGCGCAAGTGCACCAAGGGGGGGGTGGGGGGGTTCCATTGTGTTCAGTGTTATTGTTCTGCTACCACTCGAGCAAAATTGGACTTTAATTGGTCTCGCACCACTTTAACTTTAGAATTCATCTCTCTGGTAAGATGATGTGTAGCTGTTGTGGTTTCACATGAATCTTGGTATAGTTCTTGTGTATGAATAGTTCGACCTTCAAAATGCCCCCTGAACCCACCCCCACCTCCAGTATTGTCGACCACCTCAACTTCACTCTGTGAGCTAGCTGCATTTGTGTAATCTGCATTCAGTGAGGAAGAAGAGGACATTCCAAACAGACTTTATGAGCTCAGCTAGTTGGTTGGTTTTTATTCTTAAAAGGGAAAAAAACAACTCTTCCTAAATGTATCTGAAGCACTAAGACCAACTACTTCCAGTGTTAGATGGAACTCGAAAGAAAGATGAGTTGAGGAATCAGGCCCTTTGCCCTGCAGGTTGCTTTAGAGGTGATGTCTCCCCCTGGTGTTTACCTTTCCACTGTCTTCTTCATATTTGTAGCCCTGGTGACCGTTCTGTCCAATAAAATCTGACAAAGTATCCAAAATACAATTTTGTAATTTGTTTGTTTACACCATCAATTAAGTTACTGTACTGTGGAAATTGAGCAAATCCAGAGCATACAATATTCACCGTCTGTCGTGCTCAAAAACCTTGAAATAACGCTAGTAAAAATATTACATCTAACAATTAATAGATTTTACAATGTGAAAACAAATTACTTTTATTCGGTGCATTCAGTATTTTTGACTGTAAACCGTGAATTTCTTGTGAATGGGTGTCTCGCTGTTGTTACTACAACTCCCAGAATGCACCGCAAACTGGCTACGTCGTTTTCTCTGGCTCTCAAACAAATTGCACATTTTCAGCGTCACTTGATAGTGTTTGCGTAGTTTATGAGAAAACGCTTGAAACTTGTTTATTCCAAACACGTTACTCTGTATGTTTGACATTTAAATCGTGTCGCGATTTTGCTAGCGGCTTGAAGAGCTACTTTGTAAATACGGTGGCCTTTGAGGGAGGGACAAGAACCGTTTTGCAAAATGCTACATACAGTGAAACTCCTCTACAACGAAATCGTGTTTGCAGCAAAAAAATTTTCACAACAGGGGGGTTTTCACTGTAGCAAATTTGGTCTCAGATGTAAGCACACACACACACACAAACGTATATGTGTACACTTTATTTTTATTCCAATAGTGCATAAGTATGAGCATACACTTATTTGACACTTCATATAGCCAGTGTAGAAAGAAAAAAACGGGAAAGAAATAGCGAAATTTACGATTGTAGAGGGGTTTCACTGTATCTGGACTTTTAGGGGTGCTTTTTTTGTTTGTTTGTTTTTTAAAGTATTTAACTAGAATATTTGTCGTATTATGTATATTTTGTAGATTTCAAGTTTTTGTCGTGGTATTGTTTCCTTTTTTTTGCCTTCTGTTAAAGTTACAGTATATAAAATAACTGACCTGTTTTGTCAGTTCTTGTTATAGTAAAATATTTTGCAAATATATATCTTCGGTCACTGTCAATCTTTACAGCATATGAAACTACGGTATGCAAATTGAGACGACTATACATGAGCAAAGATGTCATGCTGTACCGCCCCAAAAAGGGTGCAACCCAGTCTGTGCTGCTTCAGTTGGCCGCACCAGTGTGACCAGTGCAAAAATGAGTGTAGAACCCTGTGACGTTCGGGTCAGAAATGAAAATCTGCAATAGTGTGAATCAGCAATAACCGAACCACGAAGTAGAAAGGGAACACGGCGTGTTATATATGCTGTAGTACATAGACAGTGAGGTCCCTCTTGGCCAATCGGAGGCCAGGATGATGCTCGGTAAGCCAATGGCAGAGCAGCTATGAGTATGTTGAGTCCAGGAAACTCGCAGCTGTGACAGAAAAATATAAGATAAACCATGTATGCTGGTTGGCTCGAATCCCGGTACAGTATAAGAAATTTCTCGCCCTTGTCCGGAGTCTAGCTGTAGCATTTTGTGCAGTACTAACAGCAGAGTATTAACATCTGATATGGGAAGATCAAAGAGCAGTATATCATACATGGCAATGGCGAGTGATGAAAAAAGCGGAAGGGGCGTGGCCTGGACGGGGGCGTGGCCTGGACGGGGCGTGGTTACTTACAAAAGTGGCACTAAACATGCTGAAGATGAAGTGTATTAAATTTACACAGTTTGAAAATTGAACAGAAAAAAATCCCAAGATCGCCACTATTCTTTCAAGTGAAAATTTGTGCAATTTTGCCTATGCATTCCTGGTGAGCAAAAATATGTAACTCAAAATTTGCTGCTCAAAATCAAAACAAAAAAAGTAAACACATCCCCTGCCATATTTAAGATTTGTTCATGACTTGTATTCATAAAGTGTTGTGTAAATGTGATAAAAAGCTGTTGATTCTTACCTCATACAGTGATAGTGAATATTATGCATACAATTTATTATGCATAACCGTGCTTTATTATCCAAGACAAAACGTGAATTATCAATATGAATATAAAACGCAAATAAAAACAAATAAATGTTATCATGCTGTTGCTACAAATGCATACCAAATAAAATTGAAAATATCATCCTCGTATATTTGAATAAAAAAGTATATACCTCGGAGTGTACCTGTCTATCGGCGAGGGGCGTCAGTGGAGCAGATTTCGTTGCTTGGTTCAGCCAAAGTAAGTACCCCAGCGCGTAACGTCTTTAGTTGTATCCGCTGACGAAGTTTGTTTGAAAAATGCCGATCCCAAAGAATAATTGCTCCGTCGAATGGCGATTTTGTCGGCATGTTTTTTCACTTTTGTTGCATGATCTGTCAGTGCCACGCATCCACGGGAGCCATAGTTAATTAAGTCACTACAATACACACAATAAGCTTTGCCTGCTACGTCAAAGCTTATTGTCCAAGAGCTTCTGTAACTTCGTCGAACTGGGAACCAATTTTAACCTTTACAGTGACTTTTCTGTCAAGCCAGTCCAATCGGAATTTATTCTTGACATTTGAGTCAATTTCTAGGATTAAAGACTCCTGATCTTTCGTCAAAAATTTCATAATTCCGCTCAAAACGATCCCAGAACAATGAATTTGCGAGACGAACAGGCCGCCATGAATCAGGTAAAACAATATGTTACATGCAATTTGATTGGTCCAATCGCTTGTAGTTAACCAATCGCTGGGCCGTTTATAATCGAGCTAAGACTTCCGCAACAAATAATGCCTTCAGTGATCTGATTAGTTGAAGCTTTCATACACGTCCAATCGCAGGGCTGTTTACAAACGGAAAACGGAGAGACTGTTCGGGAGAGCTCGTGAAAACTCGACGATAAGGTACCTGACCGCCCCTAAAATTTTCTCAACGGATTTAGACGATTCACAAAAATGATCAATTTAAGAAATAAAACGGCGGATTTCCGCGGATCCGCGGAAAATTGCCATGTATGGTATATGGCAATGATCGAGGCGAGACAGAAAAAATTCATCAATTAAGATTTCTGCGTCACGAGCAGATTTTTTTTTTTTTTAGCCGATATTGAAAAAACAGTTAGGTCTAATCATATTCTTGATGTGGATTTGAAAAGATAGTGTCAGGTCAAATGACATACTGTGATATTGAACTTCTTGAATTGATCTGGCCGCACTGTCCTGCCCTTATGTCTGTTGTCTGTTCACATGGTTTCAAAAACAAAACTGAGATTTTTCTTCCCAAAATAAGGACACTTGAAAGAGCCTCCCAAATCTTTGAACAGTCGTGTGCATTGTGGTTGCAAGACATTTTGTACTCACTGCATCAATAATACATACATGGCAATGGCGAGTGATGAAAAAAGCGGAAGGGGCGTGGCCTGGACGGGGCGTGGCCTGGACGGGGGCGT